TTATTATTATTATTATTATTATTATTATTATTTTTATTATTATTATTATTATTATTATTATTATTATTATTATTATGGCGTTATTGTTATTATTTTGATTATATATGTTCTGTCCTCGTATCACAACTCATCAGCAGGGGGCGGTCGAGAATAATGACTAATATTAGGATTGTTTGTGCCTGGTTACACAATTTCAACCACTGTGTCAAATTTGGACTCTATTGGAATTTTTCACTTATTTTCCACAAAAACGGCCTTTAGTAGAAAGCTGAATAGACACAACATAGAAAATAAGCCCATATTTATGCTACATAGCAACTTTTCTTTGAATGCATCAATTTGTTGCCACAAAACATAAGGAAATTAATATGATGATGACCAAAGTAAAAAAAAAAAAAAAAACATGATTTACATAGCCTTTTCAGCTTTGTTCACATTTTAAAACAAACAGCAACAACTTTTAACCTGTTCCCGACGAGAAGAGGAGAAACCTATCATTAAATGGACGGACATTTCTATCTACAGCGGAAGGAATCTCCGGTTCAGAATACACTTATTTATCAATAGAAATGTGGAAAAAGTTAGACACAGTTCCTTTAAATGTTATATGGAAACAGATTTTGTTCATTAAAAATATATACTGTATACCCTGTAATAACAAAAGGTTTGGTAGTCTATATCACCCAGCCTTTGAAATATTAAATGGTTTGTGTAAAATCAAATGGTTAAACAACCTAGAAAACGTTTAGAACAGTTTTCCAAACTATTGGGCGGATGGATTCCACATGTTGTTAATATGTGATGGTGAATTATGTGACATTATGGAAGTATTCTATACAATAAAATTCATTTTACTAATAGAACTGTGTGGAAAAAGGCATTGTGCTTTGCTTTCCTACAAATCTGATATGTCATATCTCATATTCATTGCATTTCATACACAGCATTTCTATCCAAATTTGACATAACTGTAACACTTTAAAAGCAGGCTGTATGATTTTTAAGATGTTACCAAACAAAATGTTATAAAGCCTCATATTTCAGTTAGAGATCATCTTAAAAATATCATACAGATTGGTGAAGCAGAGGTCAGTAAAAAGGGATATGTTACAATAAATATATTTGAAACATGTCTTAACAGGATCAATTTACCTTCTGTGAATTTCAAAAAGAATAGATCCAGAACCAAATGTGGTTATTTTTAGAGTCATTTTGCATTACAAATTAAGTAAACGATTACCTATGAAGTTAGAGAATTAAGTTTGATATTAACTTTTCCTCTAGATTCTCTGAACTAAACATGGAGAAAAAAAATAATTATTTTGCTGATGTACACATAAGCATAATCTTTAATGGATGTAACACAACTTATAAGACAGAAAAAGAAATCAGCTTACCTTACAGTAAGATAAATTATACCATGCTTTGTAAATATAAACATGGATGAACGATTAATCAAATAAACATTGTCTAACTTCTACTCCTTCTGAAAAAGCTTCACATTCACAAAAGTAAATTGTCAAACTTCAAGCCAAACATAATTTACTTCAGAAAGGCACTCCATGAATACAACACCACTATGAAGGGACCTGACTGCCAAAATGACGACAAAAAACATTTGTGTTCTCCACAAGCATAATGTGAATTTTTGTATGCAGTTTTTATAGTCATTTACATTTTAGTATCATCTCACACATCTCCTTTCATACCTGAATACTGATCACTTTGTTAATTATACCCCTGGCCATCAAGTGTTGAGTTTGTTCAACCAGATCATACAGTCATATTGATTCAAAGGTTTCTAAGGAAAACCATCTGATTGCATCAACTCATTGACTCAAAGGCAATCCCTCACACCCAGCATGCTTGTAGCAACAGTGGAGAGGAAAAACACCCTTTTAACAGGAATAAACTTCCAGCAGAGCCAGACTCAGTGTGAGTGGGGATCAAGTAGATACAATTTGGGTTTTTTTGTTTGTATTTTCATCTTTTCTTTTTTTTTTTTTAGATGTGTTTGCCCGCTTTTATGGCTATGTGGTTCAATTTATTACCAGTAAATCCAAAATGATATTTTTTCAGCATTGTTAACGGTTGACTTAAAGACATTGTGCTTTAAATTTATTTGCACACTATTGACTTTGAATCAAGAAAACATCCACATCGAATATAAAAGCCATTCTTGGGGGGTGCAGGTGGTGCATTGGTTAGTGTGCACGACCTATTAAGTAGGCCTTAGTCCTCGACGCGGCTGACCCGGGTTTGAATCTGACCTGTGGTCCTTTGCCACATCTCCCTTCCTCCTTTCCTGTCAGCCTACTGTTGAAAAAACGAGCCACTAATGCTGTAAAACATAAAAAAAAGAATACAAATGCCATTACTTATATGATGTTGATCTCCCTAAGAGACACATAGCACCTAAAGTAACAGCAGCTAACTTTTACAGTGACAGCCGGTGGTGTGGCTTGGAAGTTGCTTTGAATGCATGAATTCTGTCTATTTAGCTGTACTATCATTAAGAATTTGAAAATTTTGAGAGAGTTACTCCGCTAACTCTCTTTTAAGACAGTTACTTTGGTTTTTAGCCTTAAAATAATTTCAAGTCTCCAAACAAGAGCATTTTTCTAAGATGAAACTTTAACCCACCAAATGTTTCTCTCTCTAAGCTTTAACCTCATATAATCCACATCATTTTGGGTAATCCTTTGCATACCAATTTGGCTATTTTGCATACCCAAATGGAAAAGCAAATAACTTAGGAACTGTAAGCCCAAATTACATATGCAATATATTATTTAAGAGCTAACACCCTCTAGTTTCCTAATATGTAAATTAAAATTGGGTGCCTAGAACACAGACCAACCTGCATCAGTTCAAACATGACTCAAAGTGGGTTTTTTTTTTTATTCTCTGAAATGATAAGTCTTTTTTGAACAACAGTAATAAAGACAAATTTTTGAGGAAAAAGCAGGTTTTATTATATTATATTTCTTCTACATCATGTCAACCACAAATGCAGAAAATTTCAGACCTCTAACTACAGCAGTTCCAGAGCTGTGGGGCTTTGAACTTTTGGTGTCAGCTTGGAGCTGCGTGTAATGGTTTCACCTGCTGGTAAAAATTTTACCGGTGGAATTTTATGCATTTTGAGTTATTACCCCACTTAAAGTACACCTGTTCGCCAGCACCCGGTGGGTTTTAAGAGGTTAATGATACAAAATCATATCACAGTTGCACATATCCCTTTACTAAATAATAGAAACATGATACATTTCACCTGGTGTTCTGATAGCAATTCCAGTTCATGCTGTTCCAAACTAGATCACAGGAAACCTTAATCCGATCCAAAAACTACACCAAATCAGGGATATGCTCAAAATTATTTAGATACCCAAAAATGCATATATTTGCAGGATACAGTGTCGCTTACATCTGGTACTGAAACAGTGAGGCGTCTGATTCATGACATCTTACTGTAAAGGGCGTGTTACAGTATTCTGCAAATCTTCTTACATAAATGTCTGGGTGTAAGAGATAGGCTTTGTTGAATTGGTGACCAGACCCCAGGAGACACACCAGCTGTTATGGTGCTCCCTTCTTTGACTTTCTGCCGCAGTAACACATAACCTGCTGCGCTCTGTAGGAATTTTATGAAACAACGTATAGATGAAACTCTAGGGAATGAGGAGGAGCCCTGTGGGACATTTGATCTATAAATATGCGTGCTTACCTCTTAAAGACATCTTACATAACTCACTCAGTTTCAACAAGTTAAGCTTCAAACGTGAAATGTTTGTTTGCTCTGCTGGCTTTTTTTCTTTGTCTGAATTCTCAGAAAGCCTTGAACACAGCACTCAAAGGTTGACTCAAATGTCTATTGAAGGCACATTTGCATTTCCATGTAGGTGTATTTAGTCTCTTTGACCGCACAGACTGCAGCCAGTGAGAGCAGTATGGAAACAGCCTACACGTGAGCTTGCAAAAACTATTCTGATGCTTTGATTTTTCCCCCCACTTTTTTCAGGCTAGCACACAAGACCTCATAAGCGTGAATCATCAAGAAAATGCTAACTGTTTTTTGTTTTGTTTTTTTAACCTGAAAAGTCTCAGATGTTCTGTTTTAATTTTACCTGAATCAATATTTTCCAACCGTTTTAACACACTGATGTGCTTCTGTCTAAAGCATTCCACTGCAGCTAAAGCGGTATTAGGGTCAAGTGGCTTCTGAGAGGCTTTTTAATGACCATACATTTAGGTCCACCATCCTATTAATTTTGACCAGCTTCTCTGTCCATAGTAACGAACGGTATCCCCAAGAATTTACTCTATAGCCACCATCTTTAACCATGTTATTGTATATATATATATATATATATATATATATATATATATATATATATATATATATATATATATATATATATATATATA